CCTATTGCCTTTTGAAAAAGAGGTTTTAAGGAACCAGTGCAGAAGCAAAATGCAAATGTGGCTGTTAAATAGTGGTAGGAAGCTGTTCAATGTCTGACCAACAGTGATGGAAGCATGTTGTCTCTTACATGAATGAGCTGCCTTTGCAGGTGGCCAGCTTACTTCAACTCACTACAGGCTGAAGAAGCTCATTTTCTTCTCAGAATTTGTCAGGGCCTTTTAGTTTTGAGTGTAAGCTAAAGAAAGGTCTACTCTGTGATCAGGCATGAAATACAGCAGTGAAGCCTGGCACCTCTGAAAGCAGTGTCACGTGCCCTCTGCTCTGAGCCTGTTTATTTTCAGTTAGCTACACTTAATGAAACCTTGGCCTAGGGCAAGTACTGGATAATGCTGCAAATTAAGCCATTTTAAGTAAACTAACCCCATGTTAAGCCAGGCATTACATGGCTACAGTATTCAGGGTCACATTTAGCTAGATGGATTTTTGCATAGGATTTTGGGGTAACTTAATTTTGTGCAGCACTTCGTAGCATCAGGTGATTGGCATCCATTCTCCTCAATGGCTAGGTTCTGAGAGAAAGGGTCTTATACAAATTTTAGGGGTGTTCCAAAAGCATCTCCCTTTTCAGTGTTGAAAGACTTACAAAGAAGATGATGGATGAAGTAAGCACTTAATTATTTTCTTCCACGTTCCCAGGAAAAACAACAGGAGAAAGAAATAACAGTTTTGGTAAAGCCTTTCAGGAAGCAGAGGTGGTGTGCATGTGTAGTAATTGCAGTGACTCCTGTTCATGGAGTTCCAATATAATTTCCAAATGTTTGATTTCCAACCCCTGCTACATTCTTGGGGGTTCTGATGCTCCCTGAGCATCAAGATCTGCAGTCCCATGGGCCAGAGACTCGACCATGCTGTTGGCTCAGTGCTTTTAAAAGCTGTTGATGGGATTGCAGGAGACCTGCTCCTTTTGGGGTGTGATACCCTTGCTTCAAACAGCAAAATACTGACTCGAGATGGTACTTGACCACTCACTGGAGTGCCCTGTCAGAACATGCTTAGCGTGGCACTTGGGCTGGGGAGAGGTCCCGCTCCTACAGCGCAGGCAGCGAGTTACGCACTGGAACGGGACTCGCCGCAGCCACTGAAGCCAAACCACTTAGATTGGCATATATTAAAATTGCTGCCCCACTGCCTTTCTCCAAGCTCCCTTTAACCTTTCAATACCCAATTTTGCTTCTTCTTTCATGTCTTTTTTTTTTTTTTTTTTTTTTCAGATAAACTCCTTCATTCAATCCTTTGCATCCCTTTCGCTTCTGGGAAGCAATACAGCTTGCAGCTTTCCAGGCTGCTAGGGGTGCTCTCACCCAGCACATTTAGAGACACACCAGCAAACACATTTCTCCTTGCAGTGTATCAGTCCAATCCCCACTCTTTATGTTATTTGTGATGTATTGCAGCTAGAGGAGAGATTTCACGACTGCAGGGAACGTGTGAGTCACAGCCGTGGCAAGGAGCTGCAGAGAAACGGGCTGCAGTGACCGTCCAGCCTGGCTTGTCACCCCCAGCCCTGCCTTGCTGCTCAGGTAAACCGGTGAGAAGGAGGATGGAAACGTGTGTTTGCCTGCCGAGACGCCCTCAGGGGCGTGGGGTCCCCCTGCCAACACTTGTTTTACCTTTGGAAACCCAGGAGCTGGCTTTGACGCAATGCAGTAAAAGCAGGCAGAGGGAGACAGGATTGAAACTTCCACCCAAGTTACAGCTGCAAGCAAAGCCACGACTCTGCCCCTGAATTTTCTCCTGCCGTTTGGGCAGATGGGGATCAGGCCAGGATCTCATCGCTGGGAAGACACACAAGGAGGTCCTGAATGCTTTTCTT